AGCACATATCCTTCATTTCTTAAATGATTCACACTTCACTGTAAAATTAGCTAAAAGCAATGCAAGGAAAAAAATCCTGTTGTAAGGTTATTCCAGAATATTGCTACTGTGATAGTTAGAACCTGTCTCCTAATGGTTCCTAAATTAATTCATGGAGAATTTATAACTATTTATTTGGTGTCCTATGGTTTAAATAGCTTTTTCTTTTCCAAGTAGTTTCATCTTCATGTGTTTCTAGGGAGAAACTTTATTCTTCCACAGTACTTTTCTTACTAGGCTAAAGGAACCACTGACTTCCTCCCCACCCTACCTCCATCTGATAGACTTCACTTTTTCCCAGTTATGTCAGTAAATTTTCTTTGAACGGAAGTTGCATGTTTCAGGTAACAATTTGTGTCCCTTACGACTGGGAGGTGGACTGGAGAGAAAAAAGTGCTTTGGAATTGCAAACTTGAAGCAACTGCTCCTTTGTGGTTTTTTTTTTTTTTTGGGGGGGGGACACGACATTTTGGGGTTATGCTTTTTTAATTTATCTAGATTGATATTCTTAGCAACTGTAGAAAGTTTATTAAAAAGTGACAGACGACTTCAAGCTTTTCATCCAAGTTTATCACTTGAGCTTACTCTTCTGTATCAGTCATCCTTATTTCAAGGACGGGCTTTCCTTTTGTTCATCCTTGCATAAGGAAGAAGGAAGGCTTTGTGTCTCTATAACCCCAAAAGATAGGTATGTACTCAACACATGCCAATTGCTCTGCTCCACCACTGGCTTAACGTTCAATGCTTTGCATTATATCACTGCTTTCATATTCTTTCTGTCTGCTACTTCCCCTTCTGCTAGCAGTCTCCAAAGAGCAGTTACCATTTTGAAGTATAAACAGAGAAGTGGAAAGGCATGTCAAGAACAGATCCACTCCCGGCTACAGGAGGAACTTGCTTATGCAGCCATCTGCCCCAGCCACTGGGAGGGGTGAGCTACTGGAGACTCCACAGAGCCCACAAGGTGTGGACTCCAGCTGAGGGACGTTCTTCCTCTGCGCCTAGAGATTGTTCCCTCAGAGAAAACATTTTTTCTGAATTTACTGTAGACAAAGGAAGTGACAAATTTACTATAGACAAAGGAGGTGGCAATGTGAGATGAAAATCAGCTATCTCATTTAAAAAGAAATAGAGTAGAACTGTATATTTCTTGAGCTTTAAAAATGCACCCTGAACTTTTCAAGATGACTTCAGTGTAATAAAGCATAGTAATAAGCATGACAAAAAACCTTTAAATTGTTTGATTGTGCAATTAGATAAAGTTACTAGCCAGATCAGAAAGTTTTGGCTAAATATTTAGTCTTTTTTTTTTTTTTTTCCTACACAAAAAAAGATGGAAATCTGTGTGCACCAAATCTTTTTTTACTCCTTTTCAGGTGAGTGGAAGGGAACTAGTTTTTGTCTAAAAGGTTTGAGAGTCCTTAGACAAGGAAGTACAGACTCCATCTGCCATTGCCAGTTGCTGACTTCAACCCTAGCAACCAGCTGGAGGAAAACAGGTGTCTAAGGAGGGAAGGAAGGAATTGGGACAATCAAAATGGGGCTGAATAAGCAGATGCTAAGAACTCCAAGGAGGTCACAGACTTTCATTGTTACTGTCTGTGGGTTTCACTTTATCTGCCTCTGTCCATGCTCCTCTGTTCTTTAGCTAGGCGTCTCATTTTTTTGAAGCTTAGCTGACTATGGTAATTATGCAGCTATTAGTTCCTAGCCTATGACACGACACTTCTTTCTGTATAGCCATGGTCAGTTTGCTTTATAGACATTTTGCAATTCTCTAGTTGAATTGGCACAGAAAAGTTTTATTTGAAGTTTTGCCCTTAATGTATCTTTATAAAGACACTTCAGTTTTATTTCTAGTGATTTTAAAGTAATTTTGAGTATTTTTAATAAAAATTCTCTAGCTGGAATATAGTAAATGCTGAAGCATGTGAAAATAAGACACAGGAGGCATACTGAAATTTCCTCTGGTGGCTTTGGCTTCCATTCTGAAGTGAAAGACACTCAACTCCAACAAAACAGGAAGTGTTTCTGTGACAAAATAACCTGTACTTCACCTATTTCTGAAGGAGAAGGAAAGAATATATAATCAAGCTTTCAGCTGAAGCTTGCTGAAGAGCTGTTAATGTAACATAAGAGACTGCATAGGTAGTTGAGTTCCACTTCTCAGCTTCTTTGGAAAGAACAGACCTTTACGGTAGTATTTAATGATCTTTTTGCAACCATGTAATGAAGGACACATTCCCTTTCAGGTATTACTCAGTTGAGCCCTTCTCTTTGCTTCATGTTTGTCATGACAATGGTAAACAATTTTCAGGGCCAGCCGCTTTCAGTGGCAACCATGGGATTTGCTGCCTGAACTCTGGGTTGCTGGAGCAGCCAGCAGAACCTCAAGAACAAGATCCCTGCTTTGCTCCCAGGGCCCTTCCCTTAGGCTGCTGTTTCTTCACTCTCTCTGCTGACCAGGTCCACTGATTGAGCAGTGTGGTAGCAAGGCTGAACTGTGCTTTCACCGAAACTCGGGTTTGCCTCTCGGATGTAATGCCTAGCTGAAAATCAGCATAATTTTTGTCCTGGGAATTGCTTAGATGCTATGAAATACAACAATGCAAAGATGAATATAGGACCTGAGGACTTGAAGATTTTCTTGAACGAATTTTGAAATAAACAGTAGTTTGTAGCTTCATCCTGAGGCTTATTTTGTGTTTTGCTCAAAAGGTAAATATTTATAAGAAGGTGGTGGTGTTTTACTTGTAGAAATTGGAGACAAAAGCAAATATTGAACTATTGCTCATTTATATTCTTTCTGTGTGGTGAATGAGACAGTAGACCTGTGGAAGTAATAGTGAGAAATGATGTAGTTTGAGACCAGGATTATAAGACATGCTGTTAAAAGAAAAGTAGGACATTTCACAGGCAGTATTAATTTTAGCAGTAACCAAATTTGAAGTGTTTCACTTTAGTTTTACTGTTGCATCTTGTGGGTAATTGAATAGAGGTTGGTGATCGTATTTATATGCCTGCATTTTTTTTTTGAGCTTAACGCTAGGGAGAACATGATTTTTTCATCTTGGAAGTGAAATATCTCTGCTCTTTAAACTCTTCTAATAATCACTGTGAATTCAGGAATACTTTGTCAGTTTAATGCAATGTTCATCATCTTTTTATCTATTCAAATAAGTATTTCTCCCTTCATGAGTGACCATTCAAGCCAGTTATCTCTCAGAAGCCCTTAATTGTATTGAACTAAATATACTATTTTTAAATTTTCCTTTAAGCCTTTTCTTGACTTTGTTTAATCTGAAACTAGAACTAGAGACTCATAAATACAGTATACTTTGTACTGTCAGAAGACACAGGGATAACCAGTGATCAATCAGGACATTCATAACAAATAGAAATAAAAAACTAATTTGCTGGAATTCAGCATTCAGTCTTGCATCTGAGCAGCTTGGGTTTATATATATAACTACACACACACACACACATATATAAAAATGTGTATGTGAGAGAATATTTGTTAATAGAACAACTTTAAAAAAAAACCCTAGTCTTCTGGAAGAGGAGTAGAAAAAACCAAACACCTAAAGTATCAGGTAATTAATAGAGTGACAGTACTAGAGCATGTAGTGAACACAGAAGATTAATTTGGTAATAATTATAAATAGAAGTTCTTTCAATCAAAAAAGCACAAATGTTGTACACTTACCAAGGTAATTTATTTTGGTTGTTACTTCTCTTATTATGTGAAATTAGTTATTCTAGAACTAAAATAAGAATGGAATTTCTTTGATAAATTTGTCCCCAAATTGTGTGTAAGAATTTGTTTTTTGTTTTTGTTTTTAAAGCAGCAGCTTAAATGTCAGACCACACAATCATTTATTTTTATGTTAATTCTACTGCTATCAGCAGAAAACTGGATCAAAATGCCATAATAACAGTAATTTTACTTGGAGTAATTTCAGTCTACAAAATTTTTTAAAGTAAAGAAAATTCAGGTTCTAGAAAATTTAGAAAAAGTTATCCTGACAATAATACCTCTTTCTACCTGCAAGACAGCAGTTAAAAACCTTGGTGCTGTGCCAGAAAGTACCCTGAATGCCGTTCCCTCATTGCTCACATTACTGCAGGTGTCAACTAAATATTAATATTAAAAGTGATTTACTACCTAATCTGAGATTAGTTGTGAGACATTTTCAAAAGTGAGACCGTATGGTGCTGATGGAGAGATAGATAAAAAAAAAAAAGATAATATATTCCTCCATTTTGTTAAATCCTAACCCAGCGATAGGAAACAAATAACATAGGTGGTGGTTATTTCTTTAACTAACTGCCCTACTCTTTCCCCAAAGTTGACTGGTTTAATTCAAAGAAATTTCCTGAGAATCTGGAGAGAAAGCAATATCTCTGATTAGAGACTGGAGATGGAAAAAGTCCAACCTCTTCACAGTTCAAAAAGCTATCAGCAGATAAAAGCATAGATTAAGAGAAAATTGCTGTAGGTTAGGGAAACTACAAATAGATATGATGACCCTCCCACCTAAAATAAATAGATACATTTATATTTTGCATGGATACTTAGAGGTGTATGAAGAGTGACATCTACTCCTGGTTGATAAGGTCTGAGTCTGCACTCTGAAATTACTGATTTTTAAATCTTTGTGATATTAAGTAATTAAATCTTCTGGTTTCCAAGGAATCCAAAACTATTGCATTTAACATCTTCTTTGTTAAAGCCATTATGGATGCACCTAATGTCTGTGAATTAATCCTATATTCAGACAAAATAATTTTCCCACTGAATTCTCAATAATATGCATAGTTGTTCTATCTTTGAAATACTAGTCAGCATATTTTCTTCGTTACATTTGTGACCTTAATTTTATCTTTAAAATTTGTTCTGAAGTTATTCTTTGCAGTAACCTGTCTCTTTTTTTCTTTTTTTTTTGGTCCTTATGCAGAGGATTACTACTTCAGGAAAACAGCAGGTTTTCAGAGGCATTGCATTATTATAAACTGGCAATTGGAAGCAGACCCACACTAGCTTGTAAGTAATTCAACTAGAAAATCTTGCATACTATTGACTATTGTTTTTTAAGGAAATCTTCCTACTCTTTAATAACTATTTTTTTTTCAGAAGTTTTTCATTTGGAAAGCAAAAGGTGAAATTGTGCACTTTTCAGCTGAAAGCAAGTGAAGTCAACAACTGCATTTGATGTGGTACAGGGAAGAAGCAGATAATGATTTAACACTGGGCAGCACTGGTAGAACCTAAAATGCTTCTGATCTGGGATGGTGAGCCATAGATGCCACTGCCCAAATTTTAAGACTCCTGTTTTGTTTTTGTTTTTGTTTTTTTCTTACAGCCAATCCCTGATTTTTATGTTATGTGGTATGGGTGAATAATACAAATATTTTTTAAGTCCTTTCATTTTTCCTTTCTTGCCTGGTGCAAATGGGAAATAATCTATAGGATTCCAAATAATAATTCAAATAATTCATGGGTTTCAAAATTAAGCATGTGCTTATTAATACTGCTGACTTTTCCGTAGCTTAAGTATTGAATCTTCTATGTATGTATATATGCACATACATTTATGTGTTTATAAATATATGTATATATTTTTGCAACATTTTAAACAATGATGCTGTATGCTTGATACAGTCCTAATAAAAGGAACAAACCAGATCACCCTTCCTAGCCAGTGTTCCCTCCTTCCTCAGTCTTAGTAGCCTCTTCCTCCTTTCCTTGTCTCTGAACTTTTACCACTTATATGTTCCTCTTCACACTAGTGATTGATCTGTATTCTGTAAAAGTCAAGTTAGATAGATAATCACGGGATCTGTTTCAGATATTACTTTGAAATAAAACACAGATTAAATAAAACGTGATGGAATCCCATTACAATATAACCTTTTTTTCCCTCTTCACAGCTGCCTATTTAAATACTGGTATCATCCTCATGAACCAAGGAAAGACAGAGGAAGCAAGGAGGACTTTCCTGAAGTGTTCAGAGATCCCTGATGAAAATTTGAAAGATCCTCATGCTCATAAAAGCTCTGTTACTAGCTGTCTTTATAATTTAGGAAAACTTTTTCATGAACAAGGACACTATGAGGTAAGACTCCAGATTTGTCTACAGTATCATGATAAAACCTTCATAAATAATGCCTACTGCTTCTATCCAGACTTTCAAAATACATGACAGACACAAATTGATTGAATTTCACCAAATCAGGATAGATGTTCTTTACAGAGAATATTTATTCTCTACAGCCATGAGTGTGATGATGTTAATTAGTAGTGTTATGTTCTGGTGTCAGTTAGCAGTGGTCACATCTGATATGTGTTAATTCATTCTTTTTGGCTTTGTCTCCATGGCTGGTATGCAAAGGATATAGCCTGATTACAGACCAGCCAACCTAAAGTGTACTGGCCATTTAATTCAAAATAGAGTAAGTCCCTCTTTAGTTGAAAAAATGTGATTATGTTTGCTTTTGAGTCTCCAAAAATAAATCCCAACTGGAACAATTCAAAACTTCAGTGATTAAAAAAATCCCATTATGTGCTGTTTTCAGATAACTTGTCCTAATTGCTAAAGTGGGTTAGATATTTTTAATATGTATGTGTGTTGCACCCATCCCATCCCATCTTGTTTACCTGTTGTGGTGGGTCCCCTGCCGGGACCTGAGACCACGTTGCCGTTGTCCCTCCCCCACCCTTGGACCAGACGGGGCAGGGAGTGAGATACAAACCCCGGGGTTGAGATAAGGATAAATTTAATACAAGTGTAACAAATAATAAACCGAACAACAACAATAGCAATAATGATAACAATAACAGTAATAACAATGAACAGAACAATAGATATACTGCACGGAATACAGCAAGTGAGGGTACTGACCACAAAACAAAATCCGTCCCTCGATCTTCCTGCATCCGGACCTGATGTCAGCATGGTATTGAAGAACCCCCCGGGCTAGAGCTCCCTCCCCACTGTTGGGGAGACTTAACCCTGTCCTAGCTGAACCAGGGCACCTGTGCAAATGTGACTCTTGTGACTTCTCTCTGTTGACCCTGATTAAATTACTAAAACTGGACATTCACTTAAGTTTTGACCTTTAGCAGTATTTGAAATAAAGTCATTGTCTCCTTGCATTGCCAGGCATACTTCAGAACAGGAGTTATGCATGATTTTGATCCATATAATGCTTTCGGACCACAACAGTTACTTCAGCTGTTTACGATTAGGCATGCACAAGCTCTATGGATTCTTTGTCATCCGTCTGCTGAATCCAGCTGTCAGATGGCAGTTACTAATCGGTTAAAACACAGACACTGCCAGCTAATATATCTGTAAAGATAAACTAAAAAGTAGCATGTTGTTTGCACTGCTGATAGAGTGTAGACTTGGAGTACAATGCCTGGGGGGTGCAAGGGATTTTAAGAATATAAACCATCAGATTTCTGTCTGATGGTCATTGCAGTCTCACCCAACCTGGATTTGATCATACACTTATATTTTTTTTCAAGCATATTTCAGCCTTCACAAACTGCGATTATTAGATGGGATAATGTTGAAAATGTTTCAGAGCTAACGGACTGACCAGTAAGCATCGGAAGTGCTGAATGAATCATAAATGTGTGATCAAGGAATTCAAAGAACAGCACATTTGCAAAGGGAATCCAGTTTTGGTCTTCTTAACACTATAGTCCATCTCTTCTTTCTGTGAAGCAGATTCCAGTTTGAGGATTATGTTTTGTTATTGCTTGGCAGTAGACAATTACTTCTTTATTTTTAGGTCACTTACTGTAGCTTAGTCCTCAGAAAGTTGTTTGTCTGCAGTTTGATATTATTCCATATTCTCTGACAACCTATAGAATTTTATATATGCTTACTAACTCATGAGTCATTGAGGGGCTTAAAAAATGTTTCTTTTATTTCCATTTGGAAAAAGAGTTGCAATATTGGAACTAATTTGATCTCTTGTCAATAAGCTTCACTGAATTTGGTAAAACTTTTTAAATGAGAAATGTTAACTTTTTCTGCTATTTATGGTGGAGATGTGTTTTCATTCTCTCTGCACTTCTCATTTGGGGAAGGAAAGTAGTTTGGTTTTACTTTATGTATGAAAGACTGCTTTTATGATTTGTCTCACTTGTGTGTTTCTTTTCAGGATGCCCTTATGGTTTACAAGGAAGCAATACAGAAAATGCCAAGGCAGTTTGCACCACAGAGCTTATACAACATGATGGGTAAGTGCTTTGCTAAGCGCTTCAGAAAGATACTTGAGTCAGGCAGAGTGAAACAAAAGAGTTTAGCCAGGGACCTGGTGTTCGAATGAATTAGCTAAAACAATAATAAATTACCTTCAATAGACACGAGCCAAACCAGGTTCAGAGCTTAAATGCCAGCAACTTCAATGCTGTATAGGGCACAATAAATGATGAAACTTAGATACTGGATATCTCTAAGTGTGTTCATACAGCACTTGTACATTCATAATGCATGGTGATTTTTCTCTGCCTCCAGAATCTCTCATCCACTATCTTGGAGACCTCATGTGCATTTCATACAGGTTTTTTTAATCTCCCATTTAGTCATCTTTGAAAGTAAGAAGAAATTGTATTTACTTCATTGAAACTGGAATGAGATTGATTATAACATAAAATTTAGTGTGGGTGTTGCATGTTAAATTTCTGTGTAAACCAACAAAATGTCCAAGCAGGCCCACAGAGATAGTTGGAAATTTTTTGCAGCTTGTGCCAAAAACTTATTTCCTTGCTGATGTACTGTTAGTTAGACATCTGCAGCAAGAGGATTCTTCTTCCAAGACCAGCCTATCTGTCCTTTGAAATTTTAGCAGAGTCCCTTGAGTATTGCAAGAAGCATTAATTTAGCTGAGATGGTTATTTTTTTTTAAACTTTAACTCCAGATCCTCATGTTCTCCATCACATCTTTATACAGGATACATCAAACAGAAAAAAGAAAGAAGATAATATGAAGTATTATTTATAGTATTCAGATCTGTAAGAAGGCAAGTTCTTCACTCTTCCAGAGATGTTTTTAAGTGGGATGCTCTCTGAAACAACATGTGTTTCTGCTAAGCAACCTCAGTGTCTGGCCTAATAGACTCTGTGAGCTCCTATCTGGGACAGAAAAGGATGTAAGGTGCCTTTAAAGTAGTTCAAAGTAGAGCAACTAAAAATATATGTAGAAACAGTTAGGATGAACAGGAAGCATATGGGGTTTTGTGGCTTTTTTCCCCCCTCCTAATGCCTAAAATACAAGGGAATGTATTGGTTGATACCAATTGGTTTGACACAGTTGTTGAGAGGAGGTACCACTCACTCTACTTATTTAGGAAAGTAATCTTTTATTACCTTCTTACAAGTACTTGGGCATAGGAAAAAAATATTCTAAACTTGTAGCTGCAACTGATGCTATGTGTTTGCAAATCTCTGTAGATGCTAAACTGAATATTTCTCTTGTCACAGGCACAAAGTTCCTAATGTCAATAATAGTATAATCACTGCCTTAACAGTTCTTACAGTTCAATGGAGACTGAATTGTCTTTGCATTATCATAATGCAAATGGCTAAAATCTCAAATATGCACAATTGATTATTGCATGTGCATTTGTTCATAGGGAGTCTTAGCTGAACTCTTGTTTTATCAATTTCATTTATCAGCAAATGCTGATAAATTTGGTAGGGTTATCAACAGTCACCACTCTGTGAATTAAGCTTTGCTTACTATTGGTGTTCTGTAGTGATTGCTGAAGTTCTGTAGTGCTCCAGCAAATCCTCTGAAGTTTGACTGCCCTCTCTAGTGCGGATATATATTTTATAATTCTGATAAAAAGTGCTCCTCAGAAGTGCAGAAATTGGAAAAAGTAAACCAGTGCTGTTTCTAGCATGATGGTTGTTCCATCACAAAACAGGCCTGTGCTGCCTTTTCTTTTCTCATAAATAGATGCTCCCTTTAGAACCACTATGATCTGTAAGATTCTTTAGTTTTTTACATTTTTGCCCACTGGTTGCTTTTTTAGGTTCAGGAGACCTTTCTCAGCTTCCTTTATAAGCAGAGTCCATGATGTCCAAGTTCACTCTATTCCTGGGATTTGCATTTATTAACTCACAAAGCAATAGTGAAGACAAAGGCCAGCTCAGTCCTTTGCCCAGGCTTGGCTGCTGCTACACTTCCTCCTTCCACTGCTTAGCCCATTCTCTGGCTTCTGTTTCCTTTAGGCAACTGCCAGCACTTCATGGATGTCCTAGTGGCATAACAAGTTAGGGTCAACTAAGCTTACCTTAGCCCCCTTCAGCCTATTGCAAAGAGCCGCAGGCTATTATGAAGCTCCATAAAGTACAACTTATCATTAGTGTAGCATATATTTTTATTTTGGTTGCTTTTGTGATGGTAGCTGTTGCAGGGAAACCAGAACTCGCTTCGCACTAGTTGCTGAGTTGTGGCTTGTTGGCTGTGCTGCAAAGGCAATCCAAGAGGCTACATAGAATCGGGTAGTGACTTGAATGCAGTACAGTTAGTTATATTAACAGCAGGACTTGGACTGATCTGTTTAAAGCTGTCCTGGGTGTGTCTACATGAGTGTATATGACTGCAGTTAGTTAGGTTACTCTCTCCTACCTCTGATAGTGTAAAGGTTAGATGACAAGACAGAGCTGGGTAGCTATGCTCACTTTGTAGTGTGGGGAAAAAAAAAAAAAAAAGAAAAAGATACCTCTGGAGCATAATTAAGCCCATCTGATTTAGACATGTATTTTAGATTATACAAATAATCCCCTTCAAGCATACTTCTTCTATAAAAGTTGCTGAGGTGACTAGCTTAGACTTGCTAGCTCAAGTTGGGCGAGATAAATCCTAAACTCCTATTCAGTCATCTCTGCATTGGATGTGACAAGAGAACAGGGCAACCACATCTGTTATCAGGAGTGCATCCGCTCTGCAGCTCATACCATGTCATTGGGCATCAGAAGGCCAACTGGATTCTTTATTTCTGTTTTGAGTTCAAGATAAAATTATAAACATGTTCTCTATAACTATTTCTTTGATAAACAGCATTGTGTAAACTTGTCTGCCTATTTCTTGCCTTTAAAAGGAAGACTAGAGGACCTGAAATAGGCCAGTCCTGTCTCATGCTCTTGGAACTGCATGAACCTGACTCTGAGCTGTGCCCACTCACTGTATGCTGAGGAGGAAGGGGGAAAAACTGGCAAGTGCTCTCCATCTGCTCGAGATGGAAGGGTCCTTCCCTGTCTCTCTACATGTGGAAAAAGTCTTCACAGCTTATCATGAAATCCAAGAACAGTTACAGTTTGAGGATTATCTGCTGCAGTTGTTATTGTGATTAATGTATTCTGGGTCTCTGGCAATAGCTCTCGTTGGTTCAGTGGCACACATATTGCCATATATTGGCATGTGATATAAGAAAAGAGTGTTTCACCTAATTTTTAATAATTAGTCACGTCATTGAAGATTTCCTGGAGGCTTTTTTTCCCCTGAATGGTATATATGACATACTTGAAAGAGAATAAACAGAAGACGGACTGTTTAAACTGAGTTAAGATTTGAACTCCAGCATTCCAAGTGCGGTAGCATTACCACTCCAGCAGTGTTAAGCCTTTACACCACCTGCTTCCCCTGTTTGTGTTACACTTCTTTTCCTGTGCTTGCTTCTATTGGCCTTTTGCTCTTACAAGCCCAGTAACTCATTCCTCTGGTTTGCCAGTCTACCTGTACCTGGCTGACTCTCGTCCTTCAAAACTGTAAGTAACTTGCCTCTTAAAAGAAGTATTGGGCCTCATGAAGCATGCCATCCATTTGACTGCATTTTATTCATGTTACAAAAGTCAGGGCCACAAGACCAGCATCAGATGTTCTAACTTTGTGCATATGAAAAGTTGCAGGGTAGATTTTGGTCTCCTATTGCTGTGATTTATTTTGCCAGGTGTGTAACAACTCAGCTAAGGAAACCATATGTTTCTCTGGCTTTGTACCAAGAAGTAAAACCTTTTCATTTATTTTTTTCTTAAAAGAACCCAAAACAGCTGAAAATTAAAACTCTAAAACTAGAATAAAAAAAATATTATTCAACAAGCTGTATAGGGCTGCCTTGGTATTTAATTTCTCTATGTCATATTTCTTTGATGTAAATTAAAAAGTACATGGTAAGGTTACGCAGATTAATTTGCTTGGCATGGCAACATGCACTACAAAGGCCAGAGTCCAGCTCAACTGCATTAAATAGGTAATATATTTTATTTAAAGTTTCAATTAAAACCTGGGGTCAAAAGATAAAATGGTCCCTGTGGGACCTTGAACACTTTAATGCCAATATTAGGATTGTTTAAGGATCAGCCTCTGCTCTGGATGTCTTTTGCATTCCTTGAAATCTGAGATTGTACAGTTGATTGCATTACATTTCTTTCAAAACCACACTGGCCCACCTGCTACAGTAATTCATACTCCTGCCAGTTAAGTGGTGTGAGGTGGACCATGGAGGCTCGATTTTAATGCTGAATAGTAACAAGAAAGATGTCAGGGTGTCATTGTTCAGGTTTAAATTGGCAAGATACTGTAATAAAGACAAATGTCTTTATCGCACTTCATCTGCCCTTGCCAGCTCACATCTGAATGTCTGTTTTCAAATGCATTAAATGCAAAGCCTTACAAACATTTTTGATGACAAATACAGGTCACAAGAGAAGCTAACATTGCAGGAGAGAATACAGTTAATGATGCGCGGATTAGAGTTTAGATTTCTCCTTGATAATCTGCTACGTTGCACATGGACAGAAAACAAATCATACGCAAGTGGCAGCCAGGTACAGAACAGAAAAGGGGAGCCAGATTTTACATCTGGTGCAGAGCTTTGCATCATAAGTACAAAGGCTTAGCATGCAGAGAGATGTTCTGTGTTGATGATTATAACATAACTATCACTTTATTTGATTATGCTTTTGGGTGGATGTGGCTATTTATACAAACCTGTTAATATTGTTAAGACTCCTACCCCATTTGCCCCTTGCTCCCATTAAATGCTTTTTTATTGAATTACTTTTAAATATTGTTTAGAAGTCCAAGAAACACTTTTGCTGGTATAGTTTTACAGTTCATGCTGTGCAAGACTTACCTTTTAAAAGTCAGAGATGATTAAGTTGTGAAATACATATCCCACATCATAACTTATGCAGAGTGTGGTACCTGCACTTGTCTGAGCTCCAGTCATCA